AAAGCGGTAGGTCATATAAGTGAAAGTAAGATGGTGGAGAACCGTGGGACGACGGTATTGTCCTCAAAACTCAGTATATAAACGGTGAAGACCCATGGACGACGGTACTGTCCTCAAAACTCGGTTTATAAACGGTGGAGACTCAGGGACGACGATACTGTCCTCAAACCTCAAATGTATAAACGGTGGAGACCCAGGGACGGCGGTACTGTCCTCAAAACTCGGTATATTAACGGTGGAGACCCGGAGACGACTGTATTGTCCTCAAACCTCAAATGTATAAACGGTGGAGACCGTGGGATGACAGTACTGTCCTTAAACCTCATTATATAAATGGTGGAGACCCAAGGACGACGGTACTGTCCTCAAAACTCATATGTAAAAATGGTAGAGAATCCAAGGACGACGGTACTGTCCTCAAACTCGTATATATAAATTGATTTGGACCAGGAGGAGTCCTATACACTCATAGGATATGGGTGGGGTGGGATTTAAGTCAAGGATAATGACTACTATGATTTTTCCCAAATAAACAATGACCTATGGGTCGGGTATTTCCAAATGTATATATATATATACTGATATGTATTTTATAATTTGGGGAAAGGTATTATGCATGTATGTATCACCCTATGTTTGGGTCTTATACTTGAAACGTTAATTACTCTACATTTATCTTGCTACTCGCTCGGTACTTGTACTGACCCCTTCGAGAGGCCCCACCATTTTCAGGTTGAAGCTAGGGCTTGCTACCTGCACCTTCTTATGGGTGAACTCAAATCAAGGAAAACGTGGTTCGTGCTTCCTGATTTCCTTTCAAACTATCAAACACTTGCTCATGGATATTTGATTTACTATAAACTATTTTGGGTCTGTAGGAATCGTGAAGTTGTCTGTCATTTTAAAAATACATGTCTGTAATTCATATTTAGTTGTATGTCATTTGATTGTGAGTTGTATGAAAGTTGTGGTGTGTATTTTTTGAGATGTAATTAGTTATCTTCAAAGTTGTATTTGGAAGTAGATTGGTCAAAGTTGATGACTCTATGAAGACTTGTAGGAGTCCGTCTTATGTTAGGGATTTATGTGTCGGTTGCCCTACCTGCTTCTGTAAGTGATGTCCAACCATGGGAAGCTGAAGGAGTAGAGGGTGTGCCTCAATGGCATGCATGGTATTAAACTCAACAGTTTTTTGCTTTACATGTTTTGTTTGTGATAAGTGTTCTAAATGTCTGTTTGTGCTTTTTTTGTCTGTGTACAGATCCGAAGAATGTGACGTCATGGTCCTATCATTTGTAGAGCAGTGGTTACCGGGGAAGTGATTGCTTTCTTACTATGACTACGCCCAGTGGCGGAACTAGAAAACAGTTCAAGGGGGGCACAATAACATAAACGGGAAAACATACCGGAGGGTTGGACGGGGATGGGTGCACGGCGGTCGGTGAGCCGACTCCGGGAGCCTTGGTGGATTGCGACCTAGTGTGGTGGTGTGGCTGTGCTGCTTGGGTGCTTGCCTACTTGCGTCTTGCGGGGAGTTGTGGACAATTTGCCGACAAGTGACGTGGCATTTTAAGTCATCCCACTTTTATATTCCCTCCACCCCATTATATTTAACAAAATTTAACTTTTTAAGTCATTGATGTATTACTTTGACCTTTAATATATTTATACACCTAAATATTCATAATACGAAAAATGATATAGAAATGTTCTTTTCCAATTTATCTATCATGAAAGTATAAAATTATTAAATTTTACACAGATGTATTGGTTAAAATAACAATTCAAAGTTTGCCGATTTTGATTGAAAAAGTCAAATATGATTAAATAAAAAAGGAGGAAGATAGTACAATTTTTTAATCAAAATTCATGTTCATTAAACATGATTTCGTTTTAATGGGAACAAACTGGGAAATTCTATAGCATACGTATTTTTTATTATTTCAAATCCCATCAAGTGGGCCATTAATTATTGGTAGAAGTCAAAATGTATCCAAGACATCTATAAACGGTAGTACGACTCCCCATTGGCCCTAAGCAATTCTTTTTTCCGTAGCCTTCCACACGACGTCGTCACATTAAATAAAAAACTCAGCCCTACCCAATCGACGTTGTTCCTGTCCAGACATTTCCTCCAGCCAGAAATTATGGTATAGACCAGTGCGGCGGCCCCTCCAACGGCCAACCCCTTCTGCCGTTCCTATACCTTAATACCCTATCTCGTACGGTCGAAGCAGGGGCACCGCCCCCTGGCCCCCCTTGCAGATCCGCCCCTGACTACACCAACATGTCGAACAAAAGACTTGAGTTTGCTATTAGGTTATGGCGCTTGAAGAAGGCTGAAGCATAGAGTGTTGGGGAAATGTGTCGGTTTGAACTTGTGATTTTTTGAACATGTTTTTTTGCAAACGTTACATATTATAGTTGGGGAAATGCATCAAATAGTTTACAATGTTACATGTTCAATGTTGTACAATGTTGAACAATTGGGTTGGCTATTTTGAACATTTGTGAGTTTTTGCAAACATTACACGTACAATTATCCACTTATGTATGTTGATATTTTATCTGTCTATGTATCCGCTGTATTGTCTGTATGTGTAAAGTTATTGTCTCTCTGCGTAAGAATAATGTTTGTCTGATCATCTCTATTGTCTGTCTAGAAATATGTATTGTCTGTCTTTTTTATGAAACATATGCCAAAAATGGTAATTCACAACAAAGTAATGTCTGTGTGTGTATACTTATTGTATGAATGTGTATACTTAATGCCAACAATGGTAATTCACAACAAACTAATGTTTCAATCCAACTCCATGTCATTCACACATTGCGTTAATACGAAAAATTAATGTTCACACTTCAAAAATGATTGATTCAAAACTACATACAATGGTTAATCACAACAGATTAAGGTTTAAGTCCAACCACTTATCATTCACACTTGTCTAGCCATTGTTGTTCAACGGTTGTGATCAACCCATCATAGTTTATTTTGATTTATTTAAATCATCTCTTTACTAGGGAACTTCATACTGAAAGATGTCTTTCCGTTGGAGTGTAGAGAACATCTTCATTAAATGCTTGCACAATTGATGTGACCGGTTGGTTCCCACGAACTCGTCAACTTACTATTTTGGAGGTATTAAATAATATTATCCTGGATTCTCCGGTCAATCATGCGCTACAAATATCTCAACGAGTGAAGAGCATTAAATGAGCATTTAATTCTTTGAACAATAGTCTTTCTGTTGAGAGGCTCCTAATCGTTAGGGAATATCCCGTTAGTTTAACGACTTTGGTAGATCTTCTGAAGACAGGCAGTTCTGGGAGCTCTTCTTGTGGTGGTTGTCCCTTAATCGTTGAGCAGTTCAGTCCAGAAGGTGAGGCAGAACACCTTGGCAATTTTGGCCATCAAGTACTCTATTACTTACAAAATAAAAAGAATTTCTAATACAATTTTTCTACAGAGGTACTCTAATATCCTAATTAGATTAGCATCATCAAAATCTAAATACAGTTTATTCCTTACAGATAGCCTGCCACATAAGCCCTAGGAAGAGCCCGATCTCGCTAGAACTCTGCTCAGACTCGAGGTCTGTTATCCAGCCTGGCCTGATTGTGGGTTCCTTTCGCAGGTTGGATTCCTAATTAGCCCCAACGAATATTATTTATCATTAATTCCGATTAATGAGCTGATCCCGTCGATGAGCTTTGCTTTAATTTAATCTTGGACCATGACTGCGGTCCATGGTACCATCATCAGTGTTTCATGTTATAATTGAATGTCAATTGTGCCATTATGACTATGCTCCATCATTTTTTCTTTACAAAGTTCCAAGTTCATGAGAATTTATAATACTGAGATATGTTTGGGAGAAATAAAATTTATAACAAGGTTCGTACTATTAAAAAATTCAAAAACTTTCAAGGGAATCTAATAAAAATGAAGTATCAAGCAACAATGGACAATCTTTTCCTTTCGTAATGCACATAAAATAAGTAAATCTAGATCTCTAGTTATTAGTTTGTATATATTCTTTGACACAATTATTCTTTTTATTTTAGTAAGTTTGATCCTAAAAGGCACAAGACTTGCTTTGAAAATGTAAATATTTTTTGTGTTCACTTACAATATTATGTACTAAAGTATTTTAAATACGTAGTATCTACGTTTTAAAATAGTTTCAATAATTTGTGTTACAAAAAGCATCTGAAGAGCGTCTGCAAGATATAGCTTTAGTGAGCAGCTTAAGAATAAAAAATGCTGTCATGTGAAAGATTACATCACCACTTCTATAAATTTAGTAAAAGTGTGACATTAAAACATGTTTTTGAGGTAAAATCTACCATTCATGGACTTTAAAACATACACACATCACCTTTTTACACGGAGTTCATACGAAAATACACACAAATGAAATTATGTCATCAAACATATGATTTGCTTATTTACTCGATTGATAAACGATGCTCATATATATATATATATATATATATATATATATATATATATATATATATATATATATATATATATATATATATCGATTGATAGTTTTCCCTAGACGATACACGCAAATCATTACACTAATTTTCAACACACACAAACCATATCCATTAAATTTCATAATTTGATTTCACACAAATTTTAATGGACTGAATCATTTGGGATTAAAATCAAGATAAAATAAGGAATGTAAACCTCTTATTAAAAAAGAAGGTGAAAATAGTTGTGAGATAGAAAAAAAGAAAATGTAAATAAAAAAGAAAAAAAATGACATGAAGTGATAGGAACAAAATATGTGGGTTGATTTTGAGATGTTGGTTTAGCAAGCCAAGTACCCAACTAACTAAGTGGAGGGATGGTAGGTGCAGAAAATGATAGAGGTAGAGGCAGTGTGGAAGAATTGAAGTTCGGGTGGGTCAAATTATGATTTCATGAAAAATTATAGAGCCAAACTATTTATTGTTTATTAATTTACTACTAGTCAGGAGCGCGCACCTAAAATCTCCAAATCCCTAATTCCGTAGCAGGCTTCGTTCGCTCCCTCTTTCCCTTTCCCCCCAAATAATTTTGGCTAAATCTTTAATTTTTATTCCAACGCCCCTTAAACTCACTCGAAAATTTTTGTGAAAGCCAAAATCCTTCTCGTATGGCCTTTCACGTAGCTTGCCCAATTACCTGGTACAGTAACATCCTCGCTCATTTCATATTTTCCCCTCCCCTTATCTCCCTCTATAATGCTCTCCCTCTAAATCTCCATACACGCGTTTTGCTTACATTATTTCACGCTGTTGAGTGTGTTTGTCATGTGCGCAGCCGGAAGATCTGCTACTGCTCGCTCGGGTTTCCGAGGGGGTTGTGGAGCGACAAGCGGAAAGATGAGTTCTTGCAGGATGTGGCCCGGGTTGAGGAGTTTCTCAAGGACCCTTGGCTGCTTAGGGCTAGAGAGAGTGCCACAATCCAGGTCAAGGTCCCCAGGCTCCCCGTCGCTCCCCCCTCTCAGCACCATGTTGCAGGGGATGCTTCCGCCGCTGGTGGGGATGCGGAGGAGGCCGCTGCCGCCATGCTGTCGGCGCAGACCAAGCGGGCCTCCTTGCAGAAGAAAGCTGCGGCTGCATCCTCGATGGCTGAGGATTATGCAAGGCGTTTTGAGTCTGGCAATTTACTGGTGGGTTTCTCCATCTTTCTAAAAAGTTCCTTCTGGCGAAGTTAATTGATAAATGGTGTATTGGGTTTGATTGATTTGAAGTGGTCAGAAAGAGTGGAATTCTGTTTCCATTCAGATTTGCTATGCGGTGATCTTGATAGTTGGGTACATATTTTTTATGGTGATTTGACTTTCTCTCACCTTTGTCTATTTACTTACCTGGTTTCATCACTGGTGAATTTGATTTAATTACTTATGTTCGTATGTGGTCCTTGAGAAATAAAAACATCTCGTATTTCTATATGAAGTAATGAATAGGAATTTCAGATCTTTGTATGGAGCAAACTGGTTGTTAAAAAGAAAAGTCAAAGACTCAATGTGAGGTGAAGGGTACTGCTAGGGAACAGCTGAGGATGAACAAATCATTCCATATGTATCTCTTGTACACTGACATAGTCATACTTTCTCTGCAGGACTCTGCTAAAGATACTGCTTCAGGAGATTTGGTTCAATCAAATGCCAAAGTAATGTGTAGACTTTGCTTTCGCGGTGAATGGGAAAAGAAAACACTGTCATGCAAAACATGTGGCAAGAAGTATCATCAGAGCTGCTTGAAAGTTTGGGCTCAGCATAGAGGTTATTCTTTCTCTGAGTCTTGAGAACAAGACTAGTTGAACTGCGTGGATTTTTCAATTGTATATTGATGTTGCTTTATTCCTTAGATCTTTTTCACTGGAATACATGGACATGCCCTTCATGCCGGACTTGTGAGGTGAATATTTTCATGCTTTTATTTATGAATGACAATGTTTGCACTATGTGAATTGTTTAGCCCCCCCCCCCCCCCCCCCCCACTTTCGGATCTTCAAGGCACCCTCTTTAAACAATGCACCATTTTTTAACATTGAAGACTAAAATGAAAATAAGTGGAGAACAAAACCTGAACATGTCGCTGTAGTAAAGTGGTCAAAAGTGGACTAGTGTCTTCTCTTTATTCTAGAAAATTTGCTTTCTGGTAAATATTCTTCTTCTGTTCAGCTCTAGATGCTATACTGTATAACGGCTCCTTGTATCCTTATGCCACCTAAGTGTCAGTGGATGCCCCGTAATACACTTTCAGTCGTTTCAGAATCAGGCAAGTAAAGAGGTAGTGATTAATATATATAATGCAGACTTACTACCTTGCCAAGACCCATAGGTTCATTGCATACATTTCTTTGATTTAATTGGTGGTAACATATCATTGCAACTTTGCAAGGAGATCTACCTTCAAAATGTAGTATGTACTGAACCTGTAGAACTACTGAAAGGTTAAAATTAGAATGATTTGTAAAAAGATATCTATGAAAGACAATAGTGTTATCTGCCCATATTTATGTGTTCAGGTAGGAGGGAAAAAGGGAGAAAAATATCTTTGACATTCTTGCTAGAATACTAATTTCATACGCTTTGAGTTGATGTGGTCTCCTTTACCATATGCCTTTTCAGTTCTCATCATATTCTTGTTGTCTTATTACTCTATTAGGCATGTCGGCGAACTGGAGATCCAAATAAGTTCATGTTTTGCAAAAGATGTGATGCAGCGTATCATTGCTACTGCATGCACCCTCCACACAAGGTGGATTTCTAGTTGTCTATATTTGTTTTTCTTTTTGTACAATCTCTGAATAGAAAAATTGATATTTGTATTATTTATTTTCGGCACAGAATGTTAGCAGTGGACCTTATTTGTGCCCAAAGCACACAAAATGTCACAGCTGTAGCTCTTCTGTTCCTGGGAATGGCCTAAGTGTAAGGTATGTAGTTTAAAGCACCTTTTGGAGCTCTGTGAAAGATGATACAGTTTCTTTTTGGTGAATCAATTAGAGTGCTCTTGTCACCATGGGCGCACAGGTCCCTTTAGGATCACTTTACTCCTATTGTGTATAGAAACCACCTTTTGTCATTAGACTGTTTGTTGGGTTACTTTTGGTTTTAAGTAATTTGTGTTATGTTTTGAGCTGTGCCATGTAGTTGGACCAGTTCTTAATGAAGGCTAAAAGTTTTGAAGCATTAGAATGTCTATACCCCCTGCCCCCCGGTTAAATGAACAAACTCTTAATTCTTGCCTGACAGAAATGAAAGTTTTACTCACGTCTGCCTAAAATATAGTCTGAGAGTTGATAACACCCGTGAAATGCTGCAGATGGTTTCTGGGGTACACTTGCTGTGATGCTTGCGGAAGATTGTTCGTGAAGGGAAACTATTGCCCAGTATGTTTAAAGGTAGGATATTAGGTTGTATTGTGGGAATTGCTCTCTGTGAGTTTTTAATAAGAAGCTGCCCCATCTGTCTGTAGCTATGAAGCAAACCAGATTATTTTCTCATCTGATTTCAGGACATTACATTAATTGACATATTTGCCTTGCAGGTCTATAGAGATTCTGAATCAACACCTATGGTCTGTTGTGATATTTGCCAGCGCTGGGTGCACTGCCAATGTGATGGCATCAGGTCTTCATCTAAGGAATCTTTATCATGATTATTCTTATACTGAATTTCATTTTCTGTTTGTTTTTTGTCTTGTTTTTCTGTTTGTTTCATTAACGCGCTGTCTGTATTTAAAACCTCACTCTTTCATATAGCCAGAAAACTTATGGGTTGTCAAACGGATAGTGTAGGGTAAACTAGACTGATAAGACTGGGGACACTTACCCAACTCTGATTGAGAAATTGGGCCTGGGTATATAATAGAATACTATCCACCAAGGAGTCCCACTTGACCAGTATGGCTTTTTTGATTTGATCAAGACAAAATTACAAGTGCCAGGAATGATGAACCCACAAAACTTTCCCAAACATTATTCGTTAGTTTAAAAAAATTATGAATGGTAGCTTGTCTGTTACTTATGAAAAATGGCATTTTTTATTGACACAGGACTATCTTTTGTACAAAAAGTACTTCAAACATGACTCTTTTCCTTGGACGGGGGGATATATAGTTTACTACTCTGAATGATTTATGTTTTTATACTAGTAATTTCCCCCACACGGATTTTTAAGAAACACAATATCTATCTGAACTGCAATAAGTTCCCCCTCGGTCATTCGTGACTGGTGATCTTCCCTTACAGCAGATTTATAATTGGTATACGTTTTGTGAATACAAAAATGGCAGAGAATTTCATTTGTGAATGACAAAACTAGGTTTGTTCCTGAAGCTCATCAGGTTGCTAATGTTTGTACACATCATTAAAACTGCTTGTGGCCATATCAATGAGACATATAGGTGGAATTTTTATGTTTTTTTGTCCTATAAGTTGATCAAGTTCATAGCTTACGCTTATCCTGGATGTTTATGGTTTTGTTTTTTCACATTTCTTTTGCACAGCTTTTAGATTGTTTACTCATTTATCGTTTAGTTTTACTTGAAGTTCTTAATATTTTGATATGATGATGATAACCTTAAGACTTAGCAATTATCCCCTGAATTATAACATAGATCATCCTGCGCTGATGCATAATTTCAAGAGCATTGACCTTACTGACAATTCTCTTTGCAGTGATGAGAAATATCTGCAGTTTCAAGTAGATGGAAATCTCCAGTACGCATGTCCAACATGCCGTGGGGATTGTTACCAGGTCTGCTTGATTGTATTAAATATGTTTGTTTTTGAAAAAGAAAGTGTTCCACTTTCTATGCTGTGATGCTTCTCTCTAAATGTTTTCAGGTCAGGAATCTTGAGGAAGCTGTTCAGGAACTTTGGAGGAGGAAAGATGAAGCTGACAAGGAAGTGATTGCAAGTTTGAGGGCAGCTGCTGGCTTGCCGATTCAGGAAGAAATATTTTCTATAACACCTTTTTCCGATGATGACAGCCCTGTTGTATCCAAGAATGAATTTGGCCGTTCTTTGAAATTCTCTCTCAAAGGTCTATCTGAAAAGTCTCCCGCAAAGAGCAAAGAATATGGGAAAAAATCTTCAAATAAGAAGTATGGTAAGAATAAAGGGCATAAAATATCTTCAGCAGGTCAATTAGAAGCACATCTGGGCTTTGAAGGCCGTAGTAGTGATGCTCCATCTGTTGGATGTAGTACTGGTGATGTCAATGAGGAAGAGAAGAAGACTTACAGAGGCGGAGATCCCAATTCATGTCCTATTGCTGAAAGCCTGACCGAGGGGTTATGTCCTATTAATAAGGCAGGGGCTGTAAAACACGAACTTATTGATATGGTCACTACAAAGAATGGGAACAAGGCATCTCTTGAGGTAAAGGGAAACAAGCATCATAATGCGAGTGATGAAGATGTTGGTGCTCATAGGAGCATGTCTAAGACCTCCAAAGGACCAAAGCTTGTTATACATTTGGGTGCATGGAATAAAAATCTAACTGGCTCTCCTATGTCTGATGTTTCAAGTTGTCAAAGAGATCAATATTTGACTAATTCAAATGGTATGACTTTATGCTATGTTATTTTAGCTATTTAGTTATTTATTTATTTTAGAGCATGTGGGGCGGACTTGAAGTTTTTATGTTGAGTACTTGGGTGGCCATTATAGTTATGGTAATACGGAGTACCATTTAACTGTATTAATATGTGTGAGAATTGACATGTTATATCTGATAGGCCTGGAGGGCAATGTTGTAAATAAAGCTATGTAGTTGAATCACGCAGGGCCCTATCAGGAAAAAACCTAGGCACTTAGGCTGGGATTAATAGGGCCCATGTGGGATTTTCATAAGTATGCTTGAAAGTTAAATCCTCATAATCACAAGTGTAAAGTCAGCCCAATCTACCCCATCCCTTTTTATTACTCTTTTGCCAAATTCTTACTCACACAGCAAATCATCCGTCAGCATAAATGTCTTATGTCTTATTCCTGCATAATACTTTGTATATTGGAGTGTTGTACACTTGTATTATTGCAATACAGCAATACATTTTTTGGCTTGGGAATATGATGGAATAAAGCAAAATGGCTTACTAAATTGTCTGCGCTTCTTTGTTATGAAGTAACAGTCAGCCTATGCAATTTTCGATGCAATTTTCACTACGGGTCATTCGGAAACAGTCTCTCTGTGCTTTAGTACATGGGTAAGATTGCGTACATTCGACCCCCCCTTACCCCACCGTAGGTGGGATCCTTTGCGGCACTGGGGTAATGATGATGAATGAATGATTTACCACCCTTTATTACTATGTACGCTTTCTTTGTACTTCGCTTGCAATAAGGCCGGCTTCTTCATGTTCCGAAGTTGTGTGTCAATGTGCTTTTTCATTGCTCAGACTTCAATTAATAGTCTTCTTTAAATAGCCTTTAATCTCTAATCAGATTTTCACTTCGAAGGTGTGGTAGAGAAATGGGATGAATAAAAACTGACAATGTGGATTGAAATGAAATTTCATAAAATAAAACAAGTGCTTGGGTAATGTTGTTATCCTGCGTGTGTCCTGATCCTTATTTATTTCATGTGCACAATAGGTAGTGATGATATGAGTCAAAAGAAAATAAATGACTTTACAGAAAGGAGTGAAATTGCAGCTACAGGTGGAAAAGGTAATAAATAATCTATTAAATCTCATGATGATTTTGTTTTCCCCCCTGATCCGTTTTAAAGCTCACGATAGTTTCCTCTTATAATGAGCCTCAGGACATAGAGCAGATCATATTAGCCAAACACAAGGTCAAAGAGTTGGGGGGAAAGACGGTCCCTTCATAAAGATAAAAAAACCTAGAACTGAAATCGCAGACAGGACTACGACAATCAAAAGTGGACAAAAGTCTAAAGACGGGTCATCAGCTTTGACACTGAATGCATCTATGGGAAAAAGAGGCGATGAGGCTGGCATTACTGCTGCCAGAACTATGAACCAGCAGGTTCCCGCTAGTAGTCGGAGCAACAAAGCATCACTTATGAGACAAGCAGGAGCTGAAGCTGGCCTCCTTGATGATGTGCATGCCAGTGATAGAAATAAGACACCTGTTGGTTATTCGATGCAGAAGGACCCTAAACGACTGTTAAAACTCAAATTCAAGAACCCATACCCTGATGGTCAGAATGCTTGGACATCTACAGAGGAGGAAAAAGGCGTGATCAAGGGCCAAAGATCAAAACGGAAGAGACCGTCACCTTTTGGGGAGAAATCGTCAGCCACTGCTGATTCACGGCGGTATGAAGATAGTTCATTGGATGAGATGATGGATGCTAATTGGATATTGCAGAAGTTGGGAAAAGATGCTGTTGGAAAAAGAGTAGAAGTTCATTACCAATCTGATAATACATGGTAAATTTCTACCTTCACTGCTCTGCCTATGTTGCCATATTTGTTAATCAGAATTTACGAATTTAAGACCTCCCATGGATTTTGAGAAAATTTCATAAATAGGACTATAACATAAAACAATTTTTTCAAAAACGACCCATCGTTATTTGTTCTTTTTTGAGAATATGATTCATTAACTCCACAAAAATGAATTATGACCTCCTTCAATTCTTTTGTTAGAACTAGATGCGCAAAACAAGGATACTCATGTTTGTCCACATCACCCACACTTTTACTCCTTTTTATAGTAATTTCTTATGGATGAGTTTTATTTCACATTCCACTCTTGTTTATTTTGTCTCCTCTGCATGCCAGGCATAGAGGAAAAGTTACCGAATTCTTTGAAGGGACGTCAGTTGTAGCTGTTACTCTTGATGATGGAGATACCCAGAATGTAGAACTAGGAAAACAAGGAATTCGATTTGTCCCACAAAAACAAAAGCGGTAATTTTACATTGGATATTCCATGTACATTAGATGATTTGTGGATGTTGGGGTGGTTCATTCGCACGAGGTGATGATGAGATTCAAGACAACGCACCTATTTCAGTTTGTTGGCACGTCATTTCCTCTTGGTGCTCTTTGCTTTTGGAGCCACTTGAACCCTCCAATCCTTGCATAGCTTAACCAATAATCACAGCCAAATCAGACATTGCCATCGTCATTATCATGTCATAGATAAGAGAGCCAATTGCAACTATATCTTTTGAAGTCATTGATCATTTTTTTTACGTTTCTTTACATTTAGTTTTTCCTGTGTAGTAAGGATGAGAATGCATATTTTGGCCACTTTTTTCTTCGGGTGTTCAAACTCTAGCTTAGACTGTAAATTCATGTAGCAATGAGAGCCATCGCGATTCTCTGTTTATGTAATACCGCTATGTGCTTTGCAGGTATTATGTAGTTTCATTTCATAAGCCTTGGTGGACATTAATTTCAATGCTATAAAAATTTACTTCAAGTTTTGAAAATCCTGTGTATGGGGAGTATCCGTGTGGGTAACATACGAGAAAAACAATACACCGTACTAATTATTGTAATTAGAGAATTCGTAATTTGTTATGCACACATACTCAGTATATGCTTATGCTTATGTGTGTGAATATGTGGTGTATATATTTCTATTATATATTTATAAATCAATTTGTAATTCTTTAATACATGTGGATCAAATAATAATTATACAACTCTATCATTTTTTTATAAAACGTAAATATATGAAAACAAACTATACTCGACTTTTTCTGAATAATAGTCTAACTTTATATTTCGATCCAATAACTACAAATATAATGTATGTAGGGTATTTCGATTCTATCATGATTCTTGTATTTTTTTTTAAATGGATGATTCTTGTATTGCTGGCTCATTCTTTGGTATTTATACATTTAGACAACTTTTTATGATAATTAAACATATGACAAAAGTTAATCATATATGACTTTGTATGAACCATGATTTTTTTAGGGAGAGACACGGATAGGAGTAAAACATAAGAAGGGAACGTAAATAGGAACCAACGTTTTTTAATTCATATATAGGACCAATTTTATGTTAAGGGACAAAACTACACTGCTTCAATTAATTGCTTCTCTTCACCACCGTTCATCCCGGCTAAGGCTGGTAGAGAGATCGTCACCTGCTCGTCATATCCGGATACCTAAACACACACGAAGGCCAAAAACTCTATTCTCCAACAATCACGGCCATGGAGAATTACTCCTACCCTTCGATTTCGGATTCCAACGACTCCTCCTCAATTCCCGTGAAATCTAGTTCAATATCCTCCATGGGATGATCCTAATAAGCCCCTTCCTCCCAATAATTTCAAGGTGAAGTTCATGTGCAGCTATGGCGGTAAAATCTAAATTCAGCCCCAATTACCTTGACGGCAGCACCAAAATCCTCTCCGTCGAACATGTCGTTTGTAAAATCTAAATAATGATGTGTTAGCATTGATTGAAGTATCCTGCTCATCAACATCAATTACGAAGTATAAAGTTAGTCTTGATTTCAAAGTTAGCAGAGCATCTGTTTGATTTCTTTTCTCTTTTCATTATTCCATCCATTTAGAAGCAAGTCTCTTATTTATAAAAACTTGAATCGTTAAAATTCTGCAGTTCGTTTCATCGACGTTTTCAGAGGTTAAATATTCTAGCGGTGGGCAGGTAGCCGATGCTGCTCATCTGCTTAAGGATAATAAAATGATGCAGAGTAAATGTTTTAATATGGTTCGTAATTTACAATGTCAATGCGGAAAACAATGACAATATACTACAAAAATTGACATTGTGATAATGACAATGTCAATGAGGATGACAATGGCAACATACTACAAAAATTGACATTGTGATGATGACAATGTCTATGTCAATGACAATTTTGTGATAATGTTTTAGTCGGTGATAAAGTATATAAATAAGGTGAAAGTAAATATTATGTAAACGATACAAACAATGTGATGATATCAAAAATGTAACATAATGACAATTTCATTGTTGGTTGCATTGTCATTATCATATTACAATGTCATTTTTATAGCATTGACAGTTTCATTATTTGAGATTGTGATAATTTTATGACATTCTAATAGTTTCTAACATTGAATTTTTTTAAAATAATACATATCTTAATGGCATCATCGAAAACAATGTTACTTCTCGATAGTGTCATCACAATATTGTTTTTGCAGCATTGAAATTGACAGTCATTATCACAATGTCATTTTTTAAATCTTTGACATTGTCATTTTTGCATTGTCATTTTGTACGAGTGTTAATGTTGACATTGTAAACATGGCAATGTCAATAGCCATCATGTCAATGGTAATTTTATAAAAAAAAGTCACAATGTCGAAAAAATGTCTTAATGTCAATTAATCACGATGGCAATGTCAATGTCATAAAATGTCATAAAAATGTCATAAGAATGTCAATCATCATTATGAAAATGACATTGTTAAAACTAATGACATTTTTATTTTTAGCAGGTGCAACCTTTGCAAGACAGCCAATTCACATTCATCACTTTATACTTTATGTTTATTTTCCCTTGACTGTTAAAATATAATATAAATGATACAAAAATAATGTAAATGGCTAAAAGGCATTAAGCCAACCAACAGTCAGCTCAAGTCAATGCAATTCTCAAAGAAACATTAAGAAACGAAACATAAATTAATCAGCTGCAACCAAAAAAGACCAAACAATGACGGAAATATAACAAAAACACAATCACAACCAAAAAACAAAAAAGAAGACGGAAGAAAAGCAGAGCAAAATGAGCACCGACGGATGAGAAATACGAAGTAGGAAAGAAGGAGAGAAGGATGTGGAACGAAGAAGAAGAGATCTGGAACATCTTCATTGATGCCAAAACAGCTCAGTGGAAAAATAATATCAGATCTGGGTGCAACAACAACGAAGAAAAATAAGGGAGAGCAAAAGCAGGAGGACTCTTGACGCCGCTGCCTTGTCTCCATCTTGCCGTCGCCGCCGCTGTGTCGATATGTCATCGCCGTCTCTATTTCCCCGTCGGAAGAAGAAATAAGGAAGTTCAATGGTGCGATGGTTGGCCGCCGTTACTTTCGTAGCAAAAACAGCCGCGACCACCATCAAAAGAAGGGAGCAGAAGAAAGAGGAGCATACGATCGAGGCCGAGGAGAAGAAGAAAAAGAGGACTGCACGCGCGGCTGGAGCCTGCCGCTGCCACCGCACTCGCCGCCACCGTGCTCGCTGTGCCATCGTGTTCACCCCACCATGTTCTGCTACATTGTTTGGGAAGAGAATGTAGCTGGTCCGGTAAGAATTTGTCCATACGGAAGAGAGAGACTTGGCCCTGAGTGTGAACTTGTGGAGTCGGAGTAGCGCTGCAAAAATAAAGAACAGGGGCAATTTTGGAAACTTCTTCAAATTAGGTCCTATTTTGGAGTAAAAAAAGTCAAGGTCTTTTTTAATTACATAGGAGAAGCTAAGCTCCTATTTAGCACCATTTCTCTCTTTTTTTAATCTAATACACATATAATCTAATAGCTATAGTGAAGTCTTACCTATTATATATAAAGCTCAACTATACAATAAGAAAATTAAATTTATATAAGTTTCTACTTGACGTACACGATTCTGGATCCCCGGTCTACATATTCATATCAGTTCCAAGCAGGTCCAACAGGTAGCCAAAGCACACTAAGCTCGAGGCCGGGCCTCCACATAATCGAGGGCTATAACAATATGTAGAATAGACTAATGACTCTGACCTGGAAAGACTCCACCACGTAGTCGGTCTGATCTCCTTGCCCAACGAGGGTTGAGCCCTCAACTCGACCTTCTCCGGTTATCAGCGAACACATGTAATACTCCAATACGTGCTCGTTTCTGAATCAGAGTTTTGTCTCATAAATTAGCTTACATGTGTACGTGCATTTAATGCAGTTAGCATTTATGAGTATTATAAATAGTCTTCATTGGAAAAATGTAAGTATACATTACTTAATGAAATACTCTCTTCTTTCTAAGTTACTCCATATTAAGTATACCTTCTTTGTAAAAAAAAGGATGACACCCATCCCTGAGGACCTCCAACCCCGACTGGACGGTACGTTGGGAGGATGTAAATTGGACTATAATTCCAATCTACAGATAGAGAGTGATGCTCTGTTTCCGGCACTTGCAGAAGCCCTATGCTTTTTTAACAGAGTAACCACTAGTATACCGAATAGTATACCTTCTTTATAGATACCGCTAATGGTATTCTAACTTAGTTATTACTACTTCAACATGGTAAGTAAAAATACGATACACGTCTCTTATCATTTTTAGATCTATTGCAATTAAAATGTGACGGTTTAGACGGAAAACACCATTTTAACTATGTAGTGTGTAAGTATATATATACATTAATACTGTCACGCCCCGGACCTACCCGAACAGTCGGACACATCAACAACCCGCCGTACAGTACGAATAGTCAATCGCAGTCCAACTCATCCATACTATACAATGCGTCTTGAATACCATTCACACATAGTACACCCATAAACAAACATAATGTAAAATATCCATTTAAGCAGCGGAAACGTTTATACAAGTTGTTGAGGTTTAATCCCGTAGATCCGAAAGCCTAACACACGCTTTGGATATTAAGGATGTGGAAAATAGGTTGAAGGTAAAAGAAAATATAAAATTTGACTAATATTGTGCTCAAAAGCCCACTTGCATTGAGTAATCCGTTGATTACACAGAAACTTCCCGAACGGCAAGTCAGAATAGGAACTAATACAAGAACAAGAGTGAGAAAGCTATTCTAGGTCTTGAGTATCAAAATGCTTTTTTACCGTTCTTTTCATCTTCCAAACCCATAATTCCGATGCTAATCCGTCCGGTTTTCTCCGATCCGGATCATCCATACTAAGGATTTGAGATGTCCACTTTCAAACTATAAGTAGGATCCCCAGTTCGGGTCATTTCCTGCCTATAGCTAAAATGGAGACTCATCTTCAAATCATTAGCTTGGATTCCACCCTCTGATCCCAAGTCGTACGTTGTGGTTCATTGAAGCTAATTGACTGAGATGAGATTTAAAAACCCTAGTTCCGATCCCCCGCTCGGTTCATCCGTGTTACCGAATGCCGCTCGATTCGTCCATACTTACGGTCTTGACATCACCTCCAAGTCGTTTTGATCCCTTCATTTATTTGTTCAGAGCATAGGGTCAAAACTTTAGCTAAGAAGATGGCTCCCTCCAGGCCATAGCACTGATCTTCATTCGGTCATCCAGAATGGTTCTCAATTTTTGTGGTCGAGGTGAGGCTTTTCTGGAAGTTATGTCTCCCTCCATTTTTTGTAAGACGTGGCAACATCTGTTTTTTATTGATAAAACTTCCTCAGGTGCTCAATGTTTAAGGTTCCTACCGAACGGCCTTCTATGGTTTTGAGGCCGAACGTCCCTGAAGCGTATTTCTTCCAGACTTGAT